GAAAGCTCCAAAGGGGCTTGCGTCTTGCTTACCCTCCAACCACGGGGCAGCCCCTCCAATGCAGAAGGGGGCCTGCTGGAGCAGGGCTCCCTCAAGGGGAGGAGCGGCATGGGCCAGGCTCCCTCACACCCCTCTCCCTTCAAAGGCAAAGCCGTAGGCACAGCCACCAGCCCCGGGGGGGGGGCCTTCACCCAGTTACCCACCCACTGGGGAATCCTCTTGTGCGGCTGTTGTGTCACACACCAGCAATATCCAAATTGGAATGGGTTTGCCCAGGGCGCCTGCAACACCCGCGGCTGTTGTCTCTGGAGCTCCTGGGGACCGGAGTCTCAGGGGGACCTTGCTGCATTCGGGGAGGGGGCAGTTTTACCCCCTCCTCCCAACTTCTCCCTTCCTCCTGAGAAGAACAGCTGGCCTGTCTCCGGACATCAGCCCCACACGGGGACACGTGAGCAACGAGGAGAATTTGGCCGCAGCATCCACCCTGGTTCTCTGCAGAGGATACGGAGCAACAATATGAGCATCAGGAAATGCTCTAGCCTCAAATGAGAAGGGACCCTTGATGTCATCCAGGACACCCCCCACAACCTGGAGGTTTCCATTTTAAATTAACAGAGTTGGAAGGGACCTTGTAGGTCATCTAGTCCAACCCCCCCACCCACGCAGGAGACCCTACTACACCATTTCTGACAGGTGGCAGTCCAATCTCTTCTTGGAAGCCTCCAGGGATGAAGCTCCCACAACTTCCGAGGGCAACTTCTGTTCCATGGGTTGATTGCTCTCCCTGTCAGAAAGTTTCTCCTTATTTCCAGGTTGAATCTCTCCTTGTTCAATTTCCATCAATTATTCCTTCTCTGGCCTTCAGGTGCCTTGGAGAATAGCTTGACCCCTTCCTCCTCTCTGTGGCAGCCCCTCAAATACTGGAAGGCCTCTCTCCTGTCTCCCCTGGTCCTTCTCTTCCCTAGACTAGCCAGGCCCAGTTCCTGCTACCATTCACCATGAGTTTTAGTCTCCAGTCCCCTCATCATCCTGGTTGCTCTTCTCTGCA